CACACACACACACACACACACACACACACACACACACACACACACACGCTGCTGCTGCTGATAGAAGATTCGAAGGCCCCTCTAGGGCTTAGTGCTGTGCCTGAGGGCCATTTTCCTGGGCCTTGATGATAAAGCAGAGCGAGCAGACATTCGCTTGCTGTTGGCAACTTCTGCAGCATTGGGCCGCTTCCCAAGATGAACTGGCCACAGGGTCTTTGCCCCAGAGGACTCTGTGTCTGGAGACTGGATGAGAAAGTGCCAGATGTCTTGCTGTTTTACTGTCAGGTCCAGCGACAGCTCTCAGAAGTCCCGCAGGATGCGTCGAAGGAAGTATAGTTACAGGAACGTGATGGAATGGAGTTCTGCTGTGTCTCCTGGGCCCTGTTCTTAGAAAGCTGGTCACAGTCTCTGTGGGCCCGGACACTGGTGTCGATGCTAGGGCAGCAGCAGAACTAGATACAGAGTTCTTGAGGGAAGATCACCTTTGAATGAGAATGAGAGGAGCTCTGGGGATAAAATCATGGCCGACAAGGATCCATCGGGGAAATGATTTGACCAACAGAGTTCAGCATGTAGAATTGACAGAGACGGGCTTCAGTCTCCAAGCGAAACAGCTCCTTCAGATTTCCCAGATGAAGAGACTCTGGTAGCATACACCAGGCATGGGTTCATTTAGTTCAGGGGCCCCTAAAAACTTCAATTACAGAAAATTCTGGCCATTTATTGCACAAAGTTAATTTTTTTATAAGATCAAAACCCGTGAAAACATAGGTCTTCCCAGCTTCCCTCCCGCAAAACCCCCAGAATTTTCCAGCTCAAATGGAGAAGTCCTTCCCAGAAGAGAGTCCCAGGAGGGGCGAGAGGAGGATGTGCAGAACTGTGATGGGGGCAGGGCCTGTGGCATGAGAGCCTGCCATGGCACTCACTCTGCCAGCAGCAGGTGTCTTGGCCTCTTTGATCCGCTGCTTATCGCCATCCCTGGCCCTAGGACAGTCCCTGTCATGCCACTCGGATATTTGAGTGCACGGACGGACAAGTCCCCGGACGGGCTCTGACTGTAAGGGTGCTAAGATGGAAAGGCTCTTGGTGTAGGACTCTGCCTTCGAGGACCCCGGGATTGGAGAAGTCAGCTGTTGGGTTGTGCCACCGACCAGAAAGGCTCGGGTTAGCCTTGTAGAAGAGAAGGCAGTATTTAGACGTGAGGGCAGGGAGCCCAGGGAAGTACGGCAGAGGAGAATGGGATTGGTTAGATTTTGGTAGCTGGGCCAGGGGAACCTTTAGGGTGGGCGGGGGAGGGTTAGAAAAAACTTGGAGCGCTCTCAGATACCGCTTTTTTAAGTATCCCTCCTCCTGTGGCCAACGGAGGATGTTTTCTGGGGACATCTTCCCATGCTCTCTTCCCTGAACAAACACAAAATTAAGACCCCCGACTCCCCTTAATCTGAGTGTTAAGTAAACCCAAATCATGTTTTAAGATTACATGCTACATGCTAATCGCCGACCCGGCCATTGGTATTCCTTTGCCTTTTTAAAAGAAAGGCTTATTAAAGCAAAAGGGAAGTATTCACGTAACTCCCTAGGGAGATACAGCTGCACTTGGGTAGGGTCCCAAGTGAGCTTCCTCTGTAATGGAGAGACTCTGCTCCAGAGCCACCCGGCTCTCACCAGGGCGTGATCCCACATCCGTGGGAGGCACAGAGAATATTCTCGGTTCATGCAGAGGTTACAGAGTGGCTGTAAATGGACATTCATATAGAAGAAGAGGAAATTACTGTAGTCAGGGCTCTGGTGCAAGGGCTTTAAAAGAAGGCCATAAATTAGTCATAAGCGCTAAGGAAGATGGGATTCTATTTCTAGGGCTGGCTTATTTTGAGGAGGGCGTCAGAAGCCATAGGTAAAGAGAAACTGGTCAAGTAGCAGAAAGATTTGGACTCCTGGGCGGGTTAGCTGCCTATTTGGCCAGAATTCACCTTCTCCTAGACTTTGAATGTTCCAAGTTACGTGTTTGTCAAGTAGGAGGCTGAACGTGAGCCCTTAGTAGAAGGTTGGGTTATTTATTTATTAACGACTTCACCCCGTTGACAGTCGCACTTCGCACATGCACACTGAAAGGGCATGTTTAGATCACGTTAAGCAGTCCTAGTTACCCCTACCTAGAACATTCTGACACGATACTTCATGCCGATTGTTATTGTTAAGGACGCGGGCCAGACTGGGAGCGTGTAGACAAACATGCAGGGTTGGTAGGCTCCGGAGAATGAAGGGCATATGGTTATGGTGGGTTCGGAGGACAGAAGGCCTGACTCGTGATGGAAAGAAAGCTGTTGGACACTGAAGGAGGAGGACCCTGGTGGGATCCTCGTCTGCGTAGTGAGAAGAATATTCTTTGCATAGAGGCCAGTGTGAAGCACAAATGCATTTAATTGCTCTGCAGCAGGACATCTTCCCCTCGCTGTCCGGCCAGTCTTCACGTGGGATGTTCTTCAAGGCACCATGGCTGAGTTTGGTCAACAGTGGCCTGTACCTGTGTGGTTTGTAACACCTGGTCCTGGAAAGCTGGCTCCTGTGGAGGTGTGGGGCAACTGGGGGCCGGCCGGCAGCCAGCTTCTGATGTGGTTGGCTGCCTGGCTCACACCTCTTAGGTGCTGGCGAGATGGCAAGATCCAGTGGCCCCAGGCTACCACGGAGGTGGGCAAGATGCCACCACCTTCCAGAGCTTTCCTCCTCTCCTCTCTTTGTCTGCAGGAGCCCAACGGGCACCGGTCCTGGTTTTCCAGTTCCTCAGGCTGGCTGCCTGGCATCACAGTGAGGCTTCAGGCCGGCCCACCCGTGGGATCCGTTGGGCAAGGTTGGGCGAGGTTGGCTTGGCCTGGCTGTGTCCATTTGATAAAAGGAGCTCTGGATCTGTTGATTCTTCCATACAGATTTTTTTTTTTTGAGTCCAGTATCTCCTATTAGATAAAATAAAAATGTTGTACACATACATTCTTTGTTTATTGTTTCTCTGTTGTTCCTATGGCTTATTGTAGATATTCGTGAATCTCAAACGTAGTAGGCGAGTGTGGGAGGTTTTTCTGTCTACCGCTGAGACATCCCACTGAGCACCACCCACAAAACACGTTGCTTATGGCATTGAGGACCTTTGGTTCTGATTTTTTGATGACAGGGAAAGAGAGGATTCAGCTGGCTCACAGAGCTTTGAGGGGAGGCTGTGTGGACCCTAAGGAGGACAGCTCATCCTGGCGTTCAGGGACATTCCTGTTTCTATGTGCTCGTTGTCACTCTTCTCCAGAAGGGTCGTGCTCATTTCCTATTGCTGCTGTAACAAGTTACCATGAGCTTGGTGGCTTAAAGCAACTTAGAGTAATTGTCTAACAGTTCTGGAGCCTAGCATTTGGAAATCACTTTCGCTGGGCTAAAGTCAAGGTGTTGCCAGGCCGCCTTCCTTCTGGAAGCTTGGAGGGGAGAATTCGTTACCTTGCATTTTTTAGATTCTGGCACCCACCCATATTCCTTGGCACACGATCACTTTCTCCATTATACCACCTCTTGCTCCCATGACCATGTCTATTTCTCTCTGACCCCTCTCTTGCGTCCTCTTTTTTTTTTTTTTTAAATATCTAGTTCTCTTGAGCTATAGGGACCCCTGTGATGACCTCAGGCCCACCTGGCACTCTTTTGCAAGATCCTTTGCTTGATCCCATCTGCAGAGTGTCATTTGCCATATGAGGTGACACATTCACAAGTTCCTGGTATTAGAACATGGACATCTTGGGGGACTGTCAGCACAGGGGTCCTGTGGAGGAATTAGTGCAGTTGACCAAGAAGGAAAGCCCCACGTGGGCCTGGAGTTGGGTGGTTAGGGTAGCTAAAGCTAAACCGAGTGTTACTGTGAAAGCGTGAAGCAGTGTACCTGTTCAGGCAAAGGAGTTTTCCTTGGGAAGGAGGGGGAAGGCTTTAAGGGGAAATTTGGTAGCCTCTCTCCACCCCAAATAAATTGTAATGTAGTGAGGCGCCAAGAGTAGTCCTTGAGGGAGAAAGAAGGTGTTTATAAAGGTTTCTTGAGGAAGAATCCAGGCGTCGTAAGAGTAAGAGCAAAGTTTCAGGGGACAGTGACATCACTTGAGGGGTCAACTGCAGGGTACAAACAGGCAATTGGAGATGGTGGGTGGGATGGCGGCCTCCCCTCTGCGCCCCTTGTACAACCTCGCGCCTTCCCTGCCTGAGTGGCAGGTCTGTGACATGTTGTCAGAAATGATCCCTGTGTACCCAGGTGGTATGTCCAGTCACTGGATAATGACTTTTGGCAGCCTCAGAGGAGAGCATGTTCATAGCATGGGGATATGTTTCTAGAACTGTCACGGAGACATTTTCTACCAGAAGTGCAATTGCAAATGATACTTCGTTCCTTGGCCAGCCCCTGGAAGTATTAGTTTGAACTCTGGAATTGCCCCTTATGGCAACGGAGTAATTAAACAACATTGTGGAGGAATGTGTGCGGTTCTAGGTAAGGATCATAAAGGCACGATTTCTGGAACAAGTGTAGGTAGTTGGTTGCCCTCCTACATGCCAGGATCTCAAAACTCGAGAGAAAAGTGATTTTTATCACATTTCTCTTTTTTCATATCCATTTGCCAAGATGACAAGAAAAGAGGTTCCAAGAAGCACTTTGGGATGGAGGCCAGTTGCTGCCACCGCTCGTGGCCCCCGTCACGTGTTGGCCACGGGCGTGGGGCCCTGTCACGGTGCAGGCGGAGCTGAGATGAGGTTGAACAGGACCATGAGACTCCCCGCCTGCTCTTAGTCGTACCTGTTCCACGAGTGGGGGTGGTGTTGCAGAACTGAGATCAGGTTCTCAGTCAGCCGTGACCACAAAGCATAGCTGAGGAGATTCTGCTTCTTCACGTGCATTGGTTTGAAGTGGCTCTGGCTTTGGTTGTGGCTTGAACATGCTTTGTGCTTGATGAGCTGATAGCACTCCTTTCTGAAAGACAGTGTTTCAGTGCTGGTGGAGAAGAGCCTTCCCCCTCCCTGGGCCTGCGAGGCCACAGTAGGCGTCTCCTCTGTGATAGAAACGCACCTGGTGCCCCTGGCATTTGTGTGAAACACCCCGGGGAACGCCAAAAAAGAGCAGCCCGCCGAACGGAGTTAAAGGGCACCTTAATTCTCCATGCGCTGTCCTAGCATTATTTCGGGGCAGGGCCTGTGGTTAGCTTCAATCTTAAAAACCCATCCGGGGACTTGTGATATTAAAATGTTCCGTGTTAGCCCCTGGATTCGAATGCCTCCTTGGTTTGAGTAGAGCCTGGGTGGCGGACAGCCCGGCCTTGGAGGGGGTTTGTTTCTGAAGACGGACACGGAGCATGTCGGCCCAGCCGAGACTTGTGGCTGCCAGCTCAGTCCTTTGATGGGGTGTCTAGAGTCCACTCGCCTGAGGGGAGGGGGCCGAGATGAGGTGACCTGGTTCTGCAGGTCAGCAGGGGAGGTTCTGCCTCGGGGCAATGCGCCGAGCACTCTGATAACGCAGCATTTTTGCTTTAATGCATCTTAAATGTGGATTATACTATTAATTACTGCTGGACAAAACAGGGATTAGTGCGGCTGGCCTGTCTTGCCCCCTGCACTTTTACACTTCCCCTTTGCTAGGGAATGGCCAAAGGGCAGGAGGTCTTCCTGTCATCTGTGTTTTGTTTTAGCAGCAGTGGCTGCTGAGCTTTCTGGGGTTCACCAGGACAGGGGAACGAAGCAGGGGCCACGGTGGTGGGTCTGGGACTCCATTTGGCACATGGGCCATCAAGGGGAGCGGGGCTCTTTCCTTCCCCAGAGTTGGGCATGCTTTGCCCTGCAGCCTCTTAGCTCTCAGAACGCCTTGCTAAGTACTCCTCTCTCAAGGGGCTGCGCTTCCATCGGTGCTTTCAAGCAAAGTCCCAAGGTGCTTTGTCCCTTTAAGAGTTTCTTAGATGATCAAGCGAGGTGCAGAGGAGGGCGCTGACTTCTGCTTTTGGTCACCTCCAGCCCCAGTGCCGGGGGCAGTTTTGGTAGCCAGCCCGGAGCTAATGCCTTGTAATTGGCGACATTCTGAGTTCCTAAGCTTTCCTACCACCTTATCCTTGCATATAACATATACTATGGTCTAGATCTTAAGCAATTGCATTTTATATTGTGCATTATATAATATGTTATATGTTATATTGAAGACTACTTCTTATATCTTCCCCGTATTCAGGCTAGTAGACTAATTTTTCATCCATATGGAATATTTTTTTAAATAGATGAGGCATCAAATCACATTTCTCTAGCATTACTCCTAGGAGTACATAGCTTGGTAGTGTTCGGAATTCCATACACAGTGTAATCTGTTGTGCGCGCAGGCAGGGGCTGTTTACTGGCGTCCTTCATTGTATGGTAACAGAATATACAGAATTTCCCAGTTGCAGAAACTAGAAAGTGGGAAACAGATTTCTTCAATGTAAATTGGAAAACAGAATAATGAGTTTGTTTTTTTTTTTCTTTTTTAAGAAACTTGACATTGCAAAATTGGTGGGAAGGACAGTGGCATAATGTTTATAATCACAAGTTAATTGTATTAGTTTGGGATTACAACTCATTTTGATTAAGAGTGGAGAAGTCTGCAACAACCAAGAGGCACAATGTAGAGCATTCCTAAGATGGGAAAGGCTCGTTGAGGGTGAAACTGGGAATTCTACCACCTTCTCAGCTGAACATCTGTGAATTCAGGTTTCACAATGGTAGTCTGGTTGAAACCTGATGAAACTTTTTTTGGGGGGGGGGGATACTTCCTTTTCCTTGAAGCTCTTAAATTCTTCTGAACTTGGAGGTTCCAGAATTAGAAATTATTTTTTCCTCCTCCCTTCTCTAGCCACAGATGTTTATCATTTTGGAGCCAAGTCTTGCTCAATGAAACTAATCTCTAAATTTCCTCAAAGAAAGTATGGAAATTTACTTGGTTATATACTTACACAGTCTATCTGGGATGGTTTAATTCCATTTATTGAGAGATGGCATTGCTTTTTAAATGAATTTTTAAAGAGACAATACATGCCCATAATAAAATTTTCAGAAGGTACAGAGATTTCCTCTCCCTTTCTTCCTGTGCAGTGAGCCCCACAATCACTCAGTTCCCCAGAATCACCTGCTCTTGTATCCCTTCTAGAAGGTATATATTTGGAGAGGGCTGTCACAGCATTATAAAATACTTTTTTCACTACTTAAGTAGTGTTTTCTACCTAAAATATTTTTCCCCCTTTGTCAGAGTTTCTTCGTCTTCTTTCAGAGATGTTTTTATCCTCTATAGAATACTTAATATTAAAACCATGAAGGAAATCCAGTTACTTGAAAATTTAAAAATATGCTCCCAAATCACTCGGGTCAAAGAGGAGATGAAATTCCTGCCACAGAATCATTGGGAAACATTGAGAACTCTGGATACCTGGATGTCTGGGTTATTGCCAAAATTATACTCAGGGGCACATTCATAGCTTTAAATCCCTTCGTTATTACATAAGAGAAAATGAAGTGAATTAAGTATTCAAGTCAAAGTCGGAAAGAATAAAACAAGCCTAATGAGATGCAAGTAATATTAATGAATTAGAAAACAGGCAAAAATATTGAAGTTGTAGATCTGAGAGCTATGTATTTGGGGGGGGGAAAAACTCAAGGAAATAGAGCAAATCACTATCATGCCTCATTAAAAAAAGAGAAAACCCAAATACACAAAACTAAAAATGAGTTTATGGGATGTATAAAAAGAGTAGCAAATTATGTTATATTTGAAGGAATTATTTTATAGCAAAAATAAAGTAACTTAAAATACAACAATTTTGAAAATCTCAGTTGACATGGCTATTCTAGGGAAATGACTCAGAAGTCTGAAACTTGAAACAAGGAACTAGAGAAGAAACTGAACGTTTATAAAAAAAAAAAAAGTACTTTCAAAAAGGACTCTGGATGCAAGCCGTTTAATGGGTGAGTTCTTCTAAACTTTGGGGGGCAGAATAATTACCTGCTAAATAAACTGTTTGAGAGCATAGAAAAAGAGATAAAGCATTTCAGTTGATTTTTTTTTTTTTTAACAAAGCTAGCATAACTCTGGGAACCCAATGGCATTATAAAGATGATACAAAAAGGCTGAGGACTGAGCTCAGGCATGAGTATAGATGCAAAAACACCATATAAAACAGTTGCAGGTAGAATTCAGTAGCATTTTGAAAGAATCATGACCACATAGGGTTTATCCCAGAGTTGTAAGAAGGGCTTAACATTAGAATGTCTATTCTTCAGTGCATCACCTAAGTAGAACAAAGAAAAACATAATATATATCAAAAAAAGACATTTGGTAATTTTCTACTCTTATTCCTGGTTTGCTTAGATTAAAAAAAGCCAAACCAACCTATGAAGAGATTGCATTAATTTGAAGAAACCGGCAGCCCCAACACTACCAGCTGGGAGCTCACTGATGAACGGTGAATAGATTGCCCAGGGTACTCATTTCTTTTTTCCTGCCTTATTGAATTGGCCAGAATGTACAAAGCAAAGTCAAATAATGGTTAAAAAGAAACAAAAATCATTTGCACATGTTGTCTTCCTAGAATACCCAGTACACAGTTAAATTGAATTAAGCATAGAGTTCTAAGTTACAAAGCAAAATTTCAAAAATCATTAGCTTTCTCATATACCAGGAAAACTCAGTTACAAAATATTATAGAGCCCGCTCAATGCAGTGGAATCAAAGAGAAATGTGTTTGGTAAAGGTAGCATTTCAGATAAGTGAGAGGAATTAAAATAATAAAAGCTCACATTTTTTTTTCAGTACTTCTAAGTGCCAGGTATTATGCTAAACACTCTCACAGGAACTTAGGTCATTTGATCTATGCAAGAACTGTATGAGGTAGACACTATGAATAGTTCCATTCACTTGTGTTCAGAGAGTTTAAGTAACTTGCCCAGAGTCACTCAGACTTGAACACTGATCTGATTGACATCAAAACCATTGGTTCTCTGACACCGCGCTTTACGGCCTGTAGTATTACACAATCTTGTTTATTATGCAATAAATTGTTGTAGCATACTTAGATAACCAAATAGGGAAAAAATTAAGATAGAGCCATTCCACACAGCATCTATTACCATAAATTCCAGATAAATTAGAGAGGTAAAGGGAAAACTGAAATCATGAAAGCTACAAGAAAGTGTAAGTTAATCTTAATGTGAGGCAGGGAGAGATATTCGACTTAATTCTTCTAGTGAAGAGATCATAACAGAAAAGACCCAATTTACTGCGTTAAAAAAAAAAAATTCTGTATGCTGGGCACTCACAGCAAAATTTAAAGGCATAGGAACAAACCAGGAAAAAATGTTGAAAGCACATATAATTGACAGTTTGTCCTGAATATCCTTAACATATAAAAAGCTCTTAAAATCAATGATAACACAAAGTAGAAAAATAAACGAAGTGGGGCACCTGGCTCGCTTATTCAGTGCAGCACGTGACTCCACCTCAGGGTCGGGAGTTCAAGCCCCATGTTGGGGATAGAGATTACTTAAAAATAAAAATCTTAGGGCACCTGGGTGGCTCAGTCGGTTAAGCGTCTGCCTTCGGCTCAGATTATGATCCCCAGGGTCCTGGGATCGAGCCCCACCCACATCGGGCTCCCTGCTCAGCAGAGAGCCTGCTTCTCCCTCTCTCTCTGTCTGCTGCTCCCCCTGCTTGTGCACTTCTCTCTGTTAAATAAATAAAATCTTTAAAAAAAAAAAACAAAAAAATTGAGCAAAGAATATGAATGGGTAAGAAAAATATGAATGAATAAATAACTCATATGAAGGACAAATTCAGGTTGCCCATTCCATTTGAAGAGTCAAATAAGTAACTCCTTGTTTTAACTTACTTGATTACCAATGAGGTTGAGCATTTTTGTGTTTTTTTTCTGCCAAGAATGTATTTTATTTTCCAACAAAGAATTTATTAGAAAGCAAACACCCTGCTATGGTAAAGGGGTAGAAAAGTTGGTGTTCCATTCCTGAAGAGTAGTTTGGTAGTATGTGTTCAGAAGCTTTAAAATGAGGTGTATTTATATTTGTAGGTTCTCACTATAAATTTCTGATTCTCCTTACTCT